TCTAATGAGAATGAAAAAATTTTAACAATGCATAATCTACATATTCTAGCTATTCTATTGCTTTCCATTCTAGAAAAAAACATATCCATTCTTGATTTTTTTGCATTTGAAGTAATCCTTCAGAATGATATTCTTGAAAAAAATATTTCCATTCTTGATTTTTTTTTTTTTTTTTTGCATATGAAGTAATCTTTGAGAAGCATCACAAACCATCTGCATTCTTAACCACATAGAGAGTTACTTTGGATGAGATAAGCATATATGAAACTCCAATTTTATTCTTTTTTCTTAACCCTTCTTCAATTCTGAACATGCTTTCAAAAAACTGTCACTAGAATAGTTTTATTCTTGAAACCATCTGTTGTAATCTTCACAACAACATCAACAATCCTAAATACCTTAAAACCATTATCAACATTCATGGAAAAGAATAAAAAAACATCAGTTTTTGGATAATCGAAAATCAAAAGAATTGAAAATAAAAAAAACTTCAATCTTGTGAGTAATGGTTCCAGCTTCAATCTTGTGAATAATGGTTTCAGCTTTAATCTTATGAGTAATGACACAAATCATTTAGAGATAAAAAAGTGCTATGTTCATGTGTGTTGATCCAGATGCATCAAAACAAAGAAAAATTAAGAGATTGAGATAGAGAGATACTTGACACAGAAAAGGAAAATTAATAAATAAAGATTGTAATCTTATTGTGGTGGGAAAATATTGTGTTTTGATGGGATCTGAAGATGCTTGTACAAATGTTTCAGTTATTTGGATATCATTCTTGACAAAATCGCTTGCAAGATCTATCTTTAAAAGGGATTGTAATGTTATCGTGTTTTGATGGGTTCCGAGGATGCTTGTACGATTCTAAATAGTTAACTAAATAATAAAATCAACAAATATGTTTCATAAACTTCTAGAGATTAGATTAGAGAATGTGTGATTAATCTCAATAAATAATTGATTTCTTCAGTAATTTCTAGCCATCGTCAATCAAATCACTAGTAAGTTTTAAGAATGACGCCACAGAAAGTACAGATAATACCTTCCCATGATTTCCAATATAACAGAACATGGTAGAACCTGGTGGCGGTCTTCATATCCGCGACACTAGCTCCGTCATACCTTGAAACAAGCCCCGCCGCAAGCTTGCTCCACTTCACTTGACGAGTTTGGTCAACCAAAAATCAGAAGCACGCCATTTTGTTTTGATCTTCTCCTTTTTCTGTACTAAATTGAAAGGGTCTCCTTTTTCTATACCTAACTATCGTAGGAGACAATCGTCGTTGGAAAATAGGCACCGGAGGTCTTCAGCGGTGGTGGAAACACGTACCTGGCCATTCAATTTCTTTCTTATGGTAGGACGATTTTCTAGGTAATTCCTTGTGAAATTGGAACATAGAAAAAACACAGATACGGCTAGGGTTCATGCCATAATGAGAGAGAGAGAAAGAGAGAGAGAGAGAGAGAAAGAATGTTACCATATATATAGGTTTCAAATTAAAATATTTACCATAATTACAGGATAATATTTTAAGTTAGTTTACACAAAATGACTAAATTGACCTTAATTAATTATTTAAAAAAAAAAAAAAATCAATATTTAATGATTGGCCATGAATTAGTTTTACATTTACACAATATATATATATATAGATATATATATATATATATATATATATATATATATATATATATATATATATATATATATATACAGAGAGAGAGAGCAAGCTAGGTTCAAATATGGATTGACATCTATTGTGCAGACGTGTGGACAATATTATTCTGTGAGAATGACAAAGAAAATATGTTGTTTGGTAATGTGAATACGTTCAATCTAACATAACTATTGTCATTATCACGCATTCTCACTAATTAAATCGTTTATAGGGTTATTATAGACTTTTTATTATTATTATTCTCAGTCTGTCGGAATGTTGTTAGAATGTTTATTTATTGAGTCATATTCTGTAAGAATGAAAATGAGTAAAAAACGATGCGTGAGAACAAAAATGAATAAGAATTAGTGAGAATGCATAGAAATGACGATAGTTGTGTAAGGTTGAACGTATTCACATCTACAAACAGCCTATTCTCTTAGTAATTCTCATAGAATAGCATTACCTACACGTCTGGACAATAGTTGTATATCCACATTATAACCTAGCTCTCTCTCTCTCTCTCTATATATATATATATATATATATATATATATATATATATAGAGAGAGAGAGAGAGAGAGAGCTAGGTTCGGGTATTTAAAATAATTATTGTGTTATTGTATGCTTAAATGTGGACCAATCAAAATTAAATAAAAAATTAAATAATTAAATAAATAAATAAGGGTAATTTAGTAATTTGTTTAGTAACTTCCAAAAATAATCCCTATAATCATGGTATTGACTTTTAACCTAAATAAATAAGCGTGTCTTCCTCAATCTTCCACCCGACACTAACCTAACCTAACTCATCATCTATCTATCGTCTTCTCGCGAACGCCGTAAACAATACCCTATTCACCGTCGTTCCTTGCTTCAAATCCATCTTCATTCCCTTGTCTCCTTCCATCGTCGATGCTGCTCCATCTCAGGCGAGGCAAGCTTTCGCCATCGTTGCTCCATCTATGGCGACGAGCCTTCTACCGGCGCTCCTCCTCTCCATCGCCGATCCATCCCTGCTTCATCGATCATCGCCTGACCAGTCGACCACCGATGCTTCATCCACTTACTGCGATACTCCACGACCACCATCGGTACTGCTCCACAACCGACATCGGCGCTTCTCCATCTCCTGTCGCCTCCCACATCGCCGCCTACAGGTAAACATAATTTGTTTTGTTAACACAAAAATTCAAATTTGGCTTGAATTCTTGTAGTTCACGAATGTTGATTTCTCTATTTCCCTTGGGATTTACTTTTGTTGGTCTGTGGTTTTCTGTTTGTACTTTTTGGAGTTCAGAATCTTAGATCGATAAAGTTGTATTCTTTTAGCTTATTGTTTGAAATCTTTTATTTGTCAATGTAGATTGACTGTTCAGAATCTTGATTGATAAAGTTCTAATCTTTTTGTTTCTTGTATCCAGATCCTATCAAGAAAACTCGCCCACAGGTAAACATAATTTGTTTTGTTAACACATGAGTTGAGTTTTTAGTTGGGTTACTGAAATATTTGGGTTTCAAAACAATGGCTATGTTATAGTACTCTCTTTAGTGTTGTGAACACTTTGGTCGTGATTAGTTGATGTTGTGAACACTTTGGGCGAATTCTATGAATTTTATGAATATTGTGTTGTAGGGATATTTTCGTCATTAGTATAAAAAACAAACAACACCTTAAATTGGGATTTTACTTCTACAGGTGGTTGAGAGCCGAAATCAACTAACTTCTGAACTTGGAGAGTTAGATGTTGCTGATGAAAATGAACGAGTTTCTATCTTGGAATGTCTAATAGTATCATTCTCATTAAATTGTTTTTACTTTGGATATTTTTCCAACAGAATGCATACCGTAACTGAATCTTGAATTCCAATTCTATCAGAATGGAATCACGAATTCCAATTCTGTTGGAATGGAATATGGATATTTTCTCACTGATTTGTGCATTGGATTTGTTTCCACAGAAGCAGCTGATGCTTGAAGAATGGACCATGAAATTGAAAGTGATTCTTATCAACATTATTCTTTTAGAATGTATTAGTGTCTTGATTAGATTTTGATGTTTTTTTTCCCGATTTGAAAGTTTTTTTAGTTTTATTCTTTAACAATAAATGTAATTCTTAGCAATTGTTACCCGTATTCTATAAGAATTAATGTAATGTTTGTTTTTATTCTTCAATTGATGGTTCAAGAATTTGTTATTCTCCAAGAAGTTTTTAAAGTTATGATCAAGAAATAGGTTCATAAATATTTTTATTATTTTATGGTTGAAGAATATTTTTATTTTTGATAAATATATTCTGGCAGAATATCCGAGAATTATCATCACTACAATCAGATTTTTAAAATTAATAGAATCTTTTATCCCTTAAAATATGCAATTTTCCTTTTTTAAATTTATGTTAATCGACTAAAATACACTTAAAATGAAATTATATGGTATTTTCTAATTATCTTTAATTTAATAATATGTATTATTCACTTTCTTAAAATAAGTAAAATTGATTGGCATACATTTATGCATACAATAATATACATATATATATATATATATATATATATATATATATATATATATATATATATATATATATATATATATGGGGCCCAATTTCTTTGTTCGTTCAATAATCAACACATGGAGTCTTTCACACAGTACTCGATCATTTCCCTTGAGTGTCCCTGTCACATTCTCTATTAATTGATAAATTTTAAGATTTTACTTTAAGAGATGTAACGTTTAAATTTTAAAAATTGTCATCCGTATGTCTATGTGTAATGTGAAACACTTCAAATTCATGTAAATTAGGGCAATATTAAAAATTTACTAAAGTAAAAATGACAGAAATGGAAACAGCAAAAAAAAAAAAAAAAAAAAAAAAGCGTCAGTGATAGTCTATACTCTATATGAATTAAATAACGGAGAGGAAACTTTAATTATACGGTGTACCACTTTTACCAATAACATTTTAGCACATCAATGAGATATAACTTTTATCAATAACATGTTAGCATTCACTATTGACATAATTGTTTAAATTTCAATCGAAATATATTCTATTTTGTATATAACGTTCCGTCGTTACCAATTAGTTAAATGTGTTGATAATGTGTGCCAAATAAACATCCGAACATGTAATGGACCCATCAAAGCTGAACATAAGCCATAATTCACAGTGTTTGCCTTCCACCACCACCATTCCTTTTTGTTATTTCAGCTTTTGTCTCCCAAACCCATGTGTAGATATTTAACAATTTTACAAATCCAAAAATATATTTCTACAAAATAATTACAATTCTATATGCAGAAATTCATTTTTTTTTTTCCTTTTGCAAATGGGTTAGAAAGAAGTAGAAGTACCTTACTATAATGACCTTAGTCAAAAGAATATATAACTGGACTTGCAACATGGGTTTTCTGGCAAACATTCTTTACCTTCTTTCCTCCACTTCACTCCAAAGGAATGTTGCATCTGAAATCAATGTACATCCCAAATCCCAAGAACCCTAATTTATCCTGTGATCAAAATCAAATCTACCCACTTGAAAAGCTTTTTTAAACTTCATAAATTTGTAGACTCCTTGTCAAAATCTGATGTTCCAAAATGGCAAAAAGGAGATGGCTCAGTTTACTCAAGCGGTTCTTCCTCTCAGAAACATGTCAAAACAGAGCAAAGGTGTGTGTGTGTGTGTGTGTATTTGATCAGAAATATCAAAACCCATGTTTGTTTACTTGTAAATTATGCTGAGGTTGTTGTACTTTCAGGAAAAGAAGAGGATATGGGTATTCGGGAGGCATAAACTGAAGAGGTTAACCTCCCAATCAGCACCTTTAGAGCGACCAAAATCAGAAGAAGAAAGAGTGAACCCTGTGACTCAAGAAGTTGATGAACAGAAAAAAGAAACACATGATAATATTCAATCCACGTCATCATGGTATGGTGACAATGAAAGGGAAAGTGATGCAGCCATCAAGATTCAGACAGCATTTCGTGGACTTCTTGTAAGCTTTTTTTTTTTCTCCCAAATTAGCATTTTTTAACGAAATTGATGTACTTTGTAATTTGTATTCATAATTTCATATTAAACAAATTTTCTTTGACTTTAAAGGTCAAAGTCACTAACTTTCAAGATCCAAATTAGTATGAATATTTTAAAATTTGGATAAATATCAAACTCGCGTTATCAGAAATCAGATCAGATACTACTCGGGTTAAAAATACTTGCAAATGAGCCATCAACAAACACATAGATATTCTAATTCCAAAAGTCAAAATCTTGACCTAAAAAGTCTAAGCATACCTCACAATGAAAATCAATTTTCTACTATTGTAATGGATTTTGGGTGATGTTATAGGCAAGAAAAGCTTTAAGGGCATTGAAGGGACTTGTAAGGCTTCAAGCTATTATCCGTGGGCATCTAGTCAGACGCCAGGCTGTCACAACTTTAAAGCGTTTGCAGTCAGTCGTAAATATTCACTCACAAGCATGTGCCAAGAGAATCCAAGTCTTGGATTGCACTTCTCATACTAACTATCAAGAAAATCGAGGAAAAGATATAAAGGTTGGTTGGTTCAACCCGACATATGTATGCATTATCACGCACAATGTGCATATAATGCATACATATTGTGTCTGATACAGTACAGGCGATATATCATATCAGCAGTTTCCATCCTACATTGCGCTACATAGTTGTTGTATTAGACAACTAGCGCAACAAACGATGGAAAGTGTAAATGTGCGTTTCTTTGATTTTTGTAACGTTTTAATATATTTTGGTTTTCAATGAATATGAAATTATGTATAGATCGATGTGAATAGTCAAAAGAGGTGGGATGACAGCATTCTAACAAAAGAAGAGGAAAATGCCATGTTGTTCAGTAAAAGAGAAGCAGCTATGAAGCGTGAAAGGATTAAAGAGTACACATTTAACCACAGAGTACGTGTGTGTGTGTGTGTTTCATGTTTATAATCTCAATTTGACCTCAAAAGTCAAAATTTCATTTCTGAATTCTGATACTTTTTTTTTCTCAGATGTCTTCAGAATCCGAACAAAGCAAAGTAAATGGAAAATGGAGGTACTGGTTAGAACACTGGGTGGATACCCAATTGGCTAAAAGAGAAGATCTTCAAAATATAGGAAAGAAAGAAGAATTTGAAAATCAAAAAGTCAAATTACGAAACCTAAGAACACCACATCACAGGAAACAACGTTCAATTGGAGAAGAACATTCGATGTCCATGGTGGGATCCGGATCTCCTGTGTGTCCAACTTACATGGCTGCAACAGAATCTGCAAGAGCGAAATCCAGATCATTGAGCTCACCAAGGCTAAGACCCATAAGTGTAGACTCTTGGTCTGCAACTAATTCTCCATATAAACATAAGCTTTTATCGCCTATATCTTCAATCAATAGTGATGCAAGCAGTAGTCGAATTTGGAATAATGCTAATAATGGTCGTGCTGGATTCTCACAGAGATCACCAAGCTTGAAAGGGGTTCCTGGTCATGTGAAATCGATTAGAACTTCAAAAAATCTCAGCTATAATTCAGAAAGTTCAGTGCCAAATTGGGATCACCCCAATCAGTTCAGATGATTATATATATTATATCTTACCAGGTAATGCATAAACCATAATATCTTCATCCTTCCTGCAACTGTTTGTTGTAATCGTTATAAATTTAAATGAAATTATTATAATTTGATCATCTATGTTGTTAGTTACTAATATTCAAGCGTTATCCATGAGCCTTTCGTGTTTCACTTTTACTTATTTTGTGTATTTAGACATGTTTCCTTTCTATTTCACGGAGTTAGGCTATGGTTGGTATTATAAGTCGTAATACATATTACACTTCGTTAAATAAACTACTAAATAACCATTTTTTTTAAGTATATGAGAGTTTATATTCAATCAATTAGCAAAGGCCCCTTCATGATTGACTCGTTCTCTTCACCGAGTCACGGTTCGACCGGCCGGGTCGACTCAGGTTTTAAAACATTGTCAAAAATAAGCTAACCTATAAATTATATGTTGCATGCCATACATAGCATTAAATGAATCCAAAACTTTTGTTTAATTTAGGGTATTTGAAGTGTGTAATTATTTTTATTAAATTATATGTAAACTTGATATTTGCAAGGGAGTATTAAAAATGTTGGTTTAAACAAAATAAACTTTCAAATACGTGTAAGGTATGGTACCACAAATTATATCATCTAACCCACAAGAAAAGTGAAAGGGTACCTCAACATAAGCAAATATGTACTCCCATCAAATACATAAAACAAGACTAAAGTGAATCTTCACCACTATCATAGAACTCATCAATATAGTCTATATAGGCGCAAGGGCTCTTGAAATATTCAATCCTTTGTAACCTCTCCTCAATATCACCTTCCAACTTCACATTCCAACTTCCTTGAATATCTAAACATGTGAGTGACTTACATTTTGTAAGGATTTCAGAGAGACCACCTTCACCAAAACAGCCATAACAAAGTTCAAGATGCTGTAAATTCAACATGGAATTTGCTATCACAATTGCCTCAGAATCATCAACCGGAGGATTTGGCTCCGCTAAATTGGGCCAATTTCGTTGTGGAGACATGTTCCTTTTCAGGGAAACCAAAGACTTACATTGGTTTCCAAAAGCTTCTAGACCTTTGACTGTGATATTGTAACAATCGCTTATATCCAACACTCGTAGATTTGGCAGTGATTTGACATGATTTACCACCATATCATCAGTAATCTCGCTCATTGGTATTTGCAACACAGTCAAACACCTTGCGCTGTAGATAAACAAAAACAAAAGAATATGTCTTTATTAGTTTATATAAAACCCTTCTTCATATACTATAATTAATGGGAATGTATCAATGTAATTCAGTGAATGAATTTAAGATGTACAAACTACGAGCAATTTGGCAGTGATTTTGGGTGCGTTTTTTAGCTTTTAAGAAAAAAAACTCTTTTGTTCAGCAGTATAGAAGATTTTAGCTTATATTTTAAACAAAAAAAATTCATAATCCAAAAATTACTTCAATTAGCTTTTGAGAGTTTTAACTTTTGATTTTTATCTAATTTTACGCCATTTAAGTCTAACAACAATTTTTACCGAACACTTTTACAGAAATGAACTACATCTTTCAGTTTCCAGTTACTTTTGTCAAACACGTCTTTAATATCAGGAACACATGTATACTCATTACGTACTGTTTGGCAACAAAGTCAAAGCCAGTGTTTACCAATCGATAGACAGAGAGTCGTTGAAATGTACAATTGCTCCAATGTACAAGCTTCCTAACCGCTAGGTCAACTGCACGACTCTCATTGTGCCGTTGACACCATTCCGCCATATCGATATCCCGCCAGCAGCATGGCCCTTCTACTGCCTCCATCCACGGCTTACAGACCAATGGCACGTTCCTCACCATCTCGTCTACGGGTAATACCCTTACAAAGATCAATGCAAGTATCTCAGGGTTCAATTCCTCCCACCTCCCACTCTCCTCCACCACCGGTTGATCAATGCCTTTTTCCCGCCGGAAACCACCATCATGTTCTTTCCCTTTTCTCATTCTCTCTAAAATTTTGACAAAGAAGAAAGAATTTGGTTAATTTATCATAATCGGAGTCAACTGATTTCCTCTAGTAAAATACAGATTTGGTCCCTAATTTATAATAATTTTACACATATAGTACATCGTTATCATTTTTAGGCATTCAAGTCATTAGGGATATTTGTAAATCAAGCTCAAGTTCGAGTCGATGATATATAAAATCGATACAATTTCTTTATAAGTGTTTTTAATGTAAGCTAGAGTTCAACTTAAGGGAAAAATGTAACTTGAATCCGATGTTTATAGTTTTAGTCATTATATTTGATTGTAAAGTAAACATGAAAACTTGATTATATGTATAAATTAATATAGTATAGAAGATTCTAAGTACATACAAATAAATAGAGTTCCACAAGGCTAATAAAAAATGTAAGTCGAGTTCTTAAATATTACTACATCCACTTATTATATGTTTAAAGAGGCTAAAATATCCTTATAAGGGGGTTCATGTCTTGAGCATAATCCATTTTCCAAATAAGATTACAAGTTATTTTAGGCTTAATGATTAGTAATATAGGAACGTAAAAGTCGAAGACAAAAAAAAATATATACGATGGACTAAACATATGAATTCACGATAAATTGAGGGCGTATATATGTAACTTACCCTTTTCTTTACGAAGAATAGAACGTGGAGCGGTGATGTACGCATGCCCCGTACGGATTTCACCGTACACACCAGATACGTAATATTTTATTTATTACATATATTTTCTACATAAAAGCTATTGATTACATAGAGTTATCTTCATGTTGAGTGTTATATCATCCTTTAACGTTTTATTCTTAACAAATGCAATGTTTAAATTTTGAGATTCTTGTATTAAATAGTACAGATTTATCAAATTTAATAATTTGCTAATCAATTTCTGTATGCCATGCAGGTGAGTGGAAAAGGAAACCAAATTCCTCACTTCTATGAAAGTTTAAATGATATGGATTTGTGGTGTTAACACAAATGCAGATATACCTCCACCGCACCGCATGGTGTGGTGGGGTGAAGTGGACATTTCATGTAGCGCCCGCAGATTCAGACTAGTCAATTTAGTGACGATAAACGTCAAAAATAGTTTTTTTATAGATGATTATTTAGAATAAATAATCTTAACTTTTTTTTTTAGAACGGCAAATCTACACTAATCCTAAACTACTCCTAATACCACCTCCTAATAGCACCTATGTCTCCAATGAAACTTGAACACTCAACCTCTAGGAGGGAGAGCAACACCCGGTACCGTTGGGCTAGAAGCTCTTTGGTAAATAATCTTAACTAAGTTGTACTATATGTCACAAGGTTTCCGTACATATAAAGAACGCTGAAATCCGAGTTATAACGAAGAAGTTATGACCTGTCGAAGTTTCGCGACAAAACCGGCACGACACCGGGAATCGTAAAAGTGAGTTTACGATAGAGTAATTTTTAGCCTTAGGGGTCTAAATGAAAGTTGTAGAGTACGTCTCCACCTACGCGTGGATATAAAGAACGTCAAAAACGGAGCTTGTATGAAAAAGTTATGGCCTTCCGAAGATGTAGCTGTCTGAGAGCATGACATGTGTCAGAAACCCTAATCTGACTGGACTCAGGACGTGAGCCTCAATACTCACGATGTGAGGAGTCAAATTGCCATTTCGGACCTAGAAGGTGCGTGACGAGGCTACAAAGGAATAAGTTCTAAGCTCACGATGTGAGCAATGATATCTCACGACGTGAGGAGTCATATGGCCACCTTCCGAAGCTAGGGACGCAAATGGCAAGTCTACGGGGTGAGCAGGCTTGGCTCACGACGTGAGTTTTATAAACTCCCGATGTGAGACTCCAAAAAACTTGCTATAAATAGCAGGTTCGACATCAGCCAATCTCACACCTAAACTTATTTCCTTTCTCTCGTTTGCTGAAGCCGTTTCCGCTTCCCGAGCCCGGCGATCACGAACCGCTGACCGTTTCTAGTTAGATTCTATCAACTCACGCTACTAAGGTGAGTGCATATTATTTTCATCTTACACATAGATATGAAGTATTTTATATAAAATTACGTGCTATGTGTGCATATTATCTGAATACTTGTTGTATATGCTGGATGATCGATTTTATATACGTTTTAAATTATTTAAACTGTATATGTATTTTATATCTACAAATATGTTGGGATAAAACATGGGTAGATAAAATAGTTGGTGTGTGATGAGAGATGGGTTGGATGGTGAGATGAAAGGTGATATAGATCACGAGATGAGGGTGAGAGGTGAAAATGAGAGAAACCTTTACCCAAGCTGTAACACCTGGTTCTTGGTACGTATTCTTTTATCAAATCTTTAAATGTTTAGCATTTTGGGTCTTGGACTCGGCGAGTTGACGGCCCAACTCGGCGAGTCGGGTCAACTGGAAGTTGACTTTGACTTTGACTTTGACTTGACTTGGTTGGGGGTAAATGGTCATTTTACCCTAAGTATAGAGATCAGTTTCTAACTGAGTGTTTATGGGGTTTGTAGCCGGAGGATTTCCGGAGCAGCAGCGGACGGAGGTTTCCCGCACAGATTATCAGCAGCCACTTGTGCGAGGTGAGTTACCTTCCAGTAGCGGTGGGTCTACGACCACAATGTCGGCCCACCAGTAGGGATCGTATGATAGATGTTTGTCTTTGTGATATTCATCTGTGTTACTACTACCTGTTATGTTATATGCTAGCGTGTTATGATATGTGATAGTGATAGAGTTCGGTTGTTAGGACCGAAGGGTAGGTTAGGCACCCCAGATATGCCTAACAGTATGTTATGATATGTTTAGCTGCTAGCATGATATGTTGTATAAGATAGAGGTAGTAGGAGGGAGAATAGTCCCCGAGATTCGGTTGTTAGGACCGAAGGGTAGGTCAGACGCCCCAGATATGTATGACAGTAGTTTATGCTATGATATATGTGACAGTAGTAGTAGGGGGTGAAATAGTCCCCGAGGTTCGGTTGCTAGGACCGAAGGGTAGTCAGCACCCCAGAATGGCTCGACATGGGTAGGTCAGCACCCCAGAATGGCTCGACATGGGTAGGTCAGCACCCCAGAATGGCTTGACACGGGTAGGTCGGCACCCCAGAATGGCCGTACCGGGTAGGTCGGGCACCCCAGAAATGCCTGGCAGTACGTATGTTATATGATTATATGGTATGTGGACGATGGGGGAACTCACTAAGCTTTGTGCTTATGGTTTACAGTTTTGTTTTCAGGTACCTCTTCAGCGAAGGGGAAAGAGCTAGCGCGGTAGCGGCACATCATACACACACGCATTGGTTTTCCGCATTATGAGACGTTCTGGGATTGTACTCTGACGTTACTATTATTTTTATGATTTGGTTTTCAGACACGAGAAATGTTTTTATGAAATGATATGATCGGATGATGTTTATTCACAAATGTTTTCCAAAGTATTGATTTAAAAATGAAATTTTTGGCCTGTATTTTTGGGACGTTACAAGTTGGTATCAGAGCCCTGGTTTGAGGGATTCGGACACACCTTCGGGGGATGTCTGGACTCAAATCGAGGGATTAAAAGATTTTTATAAAGAAATGATTTTCTCAAGGCGAAGTAAAAGAGTTTTGAGAAAGAACAAGGTGTGTGATGTGCGCGACCGGCCGAGCTCAAGTAAGTTTTCCCCAGAGTACCCATACAAGTTCATGTTATGATTTACCAGTTTCAGTAGAACAGCATGCTAGAATAGGACTAAGGATCTAGGAATGATGCCTTATGTGCCTGCTTTATGTGTTCCAGCTTTATGAGAATTGCATGCTAGTACCGAGTAGACAGTAGTAGGATAGCCTGTCTAGGTTATGCCTGATAGTATGAGCTTAGCAGTGTATGCTAGTACAGATCAGTCGATATGATAGCCAGAGTAGTACATACATGATTATGTGTACTCAATGTCCGAATGCTGCTTGCTATGTGCTTTTAGGAGTTCTAGTTGTCTTTCACTAACTAGTAAACGAATATGTTAAGATACATATTGCAAGGACTAAATAATTTCAGAGGGTTGGGTCTAGCCCTATTTCGCAGCTCTCGTTTGAGTCTAACCGTTGTAGGGTAGGATCCCTCATTCGAAGAATTATCTAGTCTGAGTAATATGTAATAGTATTCGCAAGCTAGTTAGGGGAAGAAAGCAGGGACTTCTTATGCAGCTGAGGGCGGAGAGTGAGTTGGCGACTTCCTAGGGCGAGCCTAGGATGAGATTAGCATGAGATCAACAGTAGTAGTAGGTACTTGGTGGAGTCGAGGCAGTTCTTGAGGAAAGTACGGATAGATGTGGAAGGTAGTATGGGCCCGTACTACTGAAAGCAGAGGATCCGTACTTGAATTAAGGGAGGCTGAGGCGAGACCAGGAACCTTGCAATAGCCGTGATCCCTTTAGATGTATCAGTACCACTGACAGTTGTCGTTATGTATTGCAAAATGGTGGTACTACGCTCGAGGCCAGCAGTTGGCAGTTCAGGAGAGGGATCGGGTTCGGGATCAGGTTCCGAACCAGTGGATGAGAGGCTACGCGAGTTCATCACGTCAGAGATCACCAGAGGCATCCTTGAGTCGACCCCCATCATTTTCGGGTCGATCAAGGAAGGGATAGTTGAGTTGATGGAGGATCGCCTCAGGGCGTTCAGGAGTGACATGGCATCTGGCCAGTCAGGATCTCGCACACTGTCCTTTAAGGACTTCAGGGGCAGTGGTGCGCCAGATTTCCATGGGGCGAAGGACCCCATAGCTGCCAGGCGATGGATTGCAGACATTGAGTCTGCATAGTTGACTAGCTTCTGCCCCGAGGGGTCGAAGGTGAGATTTGCAGCAGGATGTTTGAGAGATCGAGCTAGGGATTGGTGGGAATCCGTTGGTGACTCGTTGGGAGCCTCGGCTGTTGAGGCTATGACATGGCCGGACTTTGTGACCCGGTTCAGAGCAGAGTTTGCGCCAGCTGTGGAGCTT